TTGGTGGCAGAGGGACCCGTGCTGGTAAACCCCGGGCTGAGGACACACAAGGTATCGTCCTGCACTAGAAAAGGCACTCGGGTGTGGGATGGTGGTGGTAGTGAGGTCTTCCAGTACAGGCACAGAAGGCTCTAGAACCCTCACAGATTGGGTCATGCTGGTTGTGATTCTAACCTTCAAATATTTCAATTCTGAGCGGGGCACCGATGGCTCATGCCTGTAATCCTACCTACTCAGGAGGCTGTGATCTGAGGATCACAGTTCAAAGCCATCCTGGGCAGAAAAGTCTCTCCCATTAACCACAGAAAGCCAGGAGTAGCACTGTGGCTTCAGTGGTAAAGTGCTAGCCATGTGCACAAGCAGCTCAGGGACAGCACCCAGAACGTGAGTTCACATGTTAGGACCGGCATCAAAACTGTTTCAACCCTCCCTGTTCTCTTCCCCCAATGCCCCAACTTCCCCCAAACCACCGTGGCCCCTTGCATCACATTCTACAAAGATCTTGGCCCCACGCCTCTGAACTGACCCCAGCTAGCAACCCACAGTTCCACTTCCGTGTTGACAGAATGTTCCACGCTCTCCCAGACGGTGGACTCTGGCTTGTGTGGCTGCTCACCCTGCCCTGAGGTGGGCTAGTGCCACGGGAGAGCTGAAGCGTTTGCTTCCCTCCATTTCTGCTTCTACCACAGGCGGCTGGTGGACGCCATGGTAGATAGCTCAGCTCTGAGGTACATAAGACAGGGGTGTGTTTCTCGCCATCCATGGAAGACGATACAACTCTAGGGGCGTCCCTTGCCTCCCGTGTGGGAGCGGACCGGGTCAGGAAGCAGTAAGAGGTGACTCCGCCCCTCCAGGGGGAAACATCAGGGACACCTGCAGGGACATTTCGCTACTCCAGGGAGAAGGAGCCTGCGTGCCCACCCCCGCTAGTGCTCTACTGCTGGAGCCACAGCTCCACGTCCAACTTTTTGGTGGTTCATTGGAGATAACAGTCTCATGAGCTTTTCCTGCCCAGGCTGGCTTCAAACTATAATCTTCAGATCTCAGCCTCCTGAGTAGCTAGGATGACAGGTATGAGCCACCGGTGCCCAGCTGTTGAACATCTTCTCAAGTAGACAGAGCAAGCTAGGTGTGCACTTAGTCATGGCAGAGCCTAGCAGGGGATGTGGGGGGAGAAGACCAAGCGTGGTTAGGTCACACTGCGTCCCTGCTCACATTCCCCCCCCACATCATTCTGTACACAGACACTCTCCCCAGTCCCTGCCCCATCCCAGCCCTCCCACCTGCTACCCCCCCACCCCCGGCGCCCATTTTGCCTTCTTTCCTCTGCCTTCCAGCTGGGTGACACTGTCATTCCCAAGCCAATTGGGGATTCATTGCACAATATTTCACAAGGCAGGGTTTCAAATCCATTCCCTTTACTCGCTAATCAAAAAAGCAATCAAGTTTGTCGGTAGTGATTTGTAGCATACGGACTCTGGGTGCTCTTTGACCAGGTTTGGGGGGACATTCTCTGGGGGGGAGGGCTCCCTGGGCTGGGTTTTCCCTTGGGGGCTGTGCGGCGATGGAAGAAGAGCTCGGGCCTGTGGAAAAGCCATTAGGAAGGTGCGCGCGGGCACGCGGCGGGGAGGTACACGGGCACACGGCGGGAGGGGTGCATCGAGTCTCCTGGTTTACGTGTCCACAGCTGTGACGGAAGAGGCAGCTAGATGTTTCCAGGAGATCGGGAGAATGTCATCTGTCTCTCCAATAACCACCTTCGGATGAGTCACACTGGGGCACAAAACTCCCACACCCCCGCAGCAGCGAGAGGGAGGCCTTCGTCTTCAATGCTCACCATTGCTTTCCTGTCATGACCGAACTTTCATTTGGGTAGAAATTAGAAAGGAGCTGGGCACTGAAAGCTCACGCCTGCCATCCTAGCAACTCAGGAGGCTGAGGTCTGAGGATCGTGGTTTGAAGCCAGCCTGGGCAGGAAAGTCTGTGAGAGTCTTACCTCCCAATTCACCCGCAGAAAGTCACAAGGGGAGCTGTGGCTCAAGCGAGATAGATCACTAGCCTTGAACAAAGTTGCTAAGGGTCAGTGCCCAGGCCCTGAGTTCAAGCCCTAGTACCCACCCAAAACAAGAAAAAAAGCAAAGGTGCTCCAAAGGCAATCAGCCTCGGCATGCGGTCCATCCCCGAGTGGGTGCCTTGGACATCTGAGTCAGCGCCCCCCGCCCCCACCAGCTTCTTGCATCAAGAGCAAGTCCCCTGTGGGCTCACCTACCCACAGAAACGAGGGGCCCCCCTGCGCTGGCCGAGCACTCCCCTGCCATCCTGGCCCAGTACGCGCCCTGGAGCCTCTTGACCCGTCCTCAGTCCCTGGCCGGCCTCTGCTCCGGTCATCCTGGCCCCACAGCAAGGTTCAAAGATACAAATGTGGCTGCCACATTCCTCCCTTCCCCACTACGTCAGGGCGGGGGGCAGGTCCCCTCCTCCCCATGGTCTTTTGTGATCAGTTGCACCCACCCTCCAGCCCAGGCTCGATGAGGCCCCGCCTCATTCTTCCCTCTCTCCACGTCTTCACCCCTTGCCTAACATCTACTGAGAGACGGGGGACATCAGATCGCCAGGGTGTGGTTAGAGTTACAGAGTGACATCTAAAAATAGTCTCTTACTAAGCCAGGCTCCCGGCCCCCTGATTAAAATGTATGAGGCTTGAAGTGGACCACAACCATTTACCTTTTCCACTTAGTTTTGTTTCTCGGATGGTTCTGCGCAGTCCTGTCTAGGGCCAAGCGGGGGGCCAGAGAGGGCTTTGGGGGTGTTCAGGAAGGAGTTACCCTGCTTGCTACTACTTTTGTGCTAATTCTCAGCCCTGGGCAGGGCAGGGGTTTAGCAAATTCTCGCTGATCCCCGAGTCTCGGAGGAGACTGAGGCCTGAGCTAGACAGATAGGCCAGGAATGGTGGCAAGAAGATGTCAAGAATCAGTGGTGTTCGTTTCAAGTCTGGAGAGGAATAAACAGAAGGAGCAGGTGAAAGCCTTCTATTACCGAGGGACAGGAGAAACTTGTCTTAGCCGTTCATGTTGCTTTCATTGGCTTATGGCATGGGTCAAAGTGAAGGAACTGCCTGGGAAAACAAGCAGATTCCACTGGGAAAGAGCTGATTGAAGTAATACAGGCAGCCGCTCGGTCATTGTGACCAAATGCTTCTAAGCAACATCTGCACAGGAGTCAGCTTTGGCAAGAGAGAATGAGTTATTAAAAAAAAATCCCAAACCAGCAAAACGAAACACAGTGTCTTACAAACCAGAAAAGTCGTGGAAGAATATTGCCTTCTTAATAATAAATACATTTCGTGGGTAAGGATTGCAAGGGAATCGTTTAAATTAATTTCCTCTTTGTTTGGTTTGTACAGGGCTTAAATCCCAGCTGGCAGTGATCTGTTAAAAAAAAAAAAAAAAGTTCTAACATATTGGAAATCTGATTTTCTTATAGCAGAACTCCAGAGTCTAAAATGAGCTGATCTCTCTCTCTCTCTCTCTCTCTCTCTCTCTCTCTCTCTCTCTCTCTCTCTCTCTCTCTCTCTATCTATCTATCTCCTCTGCTAATCAGACAAGCAAGGCTCAAATAAGACTCTTGAGTTGAGCCAAATTGTACTCAAGTAATCTGGGGGATGTAAATAAATATATACGATATTGCATATCACATATATGTAATATCTATCTGATGAAAGCTTTCCAGACTGAACTGCCAGACGTTGTTCACAGGGAGCTGCTACTGGGATGTTGGGGGTATGGGGGGAGGGGCGCCAGGAATAGGGGCCTTTCCCACTGAGGTTGGATCTGCCAACCCTTCCTCCTCTTCCTGCCTCATCCATCATGAATCCAAGCCCTGGAACAATCGGGGCACTAACTTAGAGCCAAGTGGAAGGCAATCACTCCTCGTGAGATTTGAATGCTCTAAAGGAAAGGGTGTTGGCGTTGGTTTCGGTGTGGGCCTCCACCCGTGGGTGCCTGGGGGGGGGGGAGCCTGTCCACACCTGGTGAGCCACTTGGGAGGCTGCACCCTATCCCACACAGGTTCTCTACAAGGTCCTTGTCCCCCTTGGGCCCCTCTCCATCTCACTGGTGCCCAGCTCTGTGTGCATGGGAAGCCCATCCATGGGCCACCTTCACCTGTCAGACCCCAGGTGAGTGTTGAGCCAAGGACTTTCCCCTGTGCCAGCCTGCCTCGTGTGTCCTTCTCGAATCTGAATCCCCACCCCAGTCCCCCTTATTCTCCAACCTGGCTCTTTCCCCAAATTGAATCCATCTGCAAGAGATGCAGTTTTGTATTGAAGCAAATCCTTAAGTAAACAACCCCTCACTCAAAAACTGCAATGGACACCCACATGGTGGCTGGTGCCCAGAATCCTAGCTACTCGGGAGGCTGAGGTCTGAGGATCACGGTTTGAAGTCTGCCCCGGCAGAAACATCCGTGAAACTTTTGTCTCTCCCATTAACCAGCAAAAAGCCACGAGTGGAGGTGTGGCTCCCGTAGTAGAGCGTCAGCCCTGAGTTTCGGGAAGGCCAGGTAAGAGAAGCCTTGCGTTCAAGCTCCGGTGTCGGCACTAAGATAAAATAAACTCTACAGAAGGGTCTCCCCGAGCATATCCCAAGCGCCTTGTCCTACCCAGCCAGCAATGTCCGGCCCCATGTGTCCTGTGTGTTTTACCCCCTTCTGAAACACTCAGCCGTGCCCGCACACCTCGCTGGCCTGTACGCTTGGATACCTCCAGGTCCCCAAAGGGGAAACCTCCAGCTGCCCTTCCCGTGTGACCCAGCTGTCATATCCCTCGTGCTCCTCGGATACTGTCCCTGCAGCAAGCCTTCACGCGGGAGCCAGGCAATGCGCGCCTCGGTCTCCGCCGGGTCTGCTGCAGGCGGTGTGGCCTCCTCGCTCCTTCTCTGCTGCCTGTCTCCCTCTCTCCTTCCCTCTTTCCAACTGAATTCTCGTTTTTCCTCTCTCCCTAGTGCTTGTACGGCTGCTATGTCCATTCCTCCATCATCCCCACCTTCCACCGGAGGTGCTACTGGCTCCTTCAGGTAGGTGGCTGGGACTGCGCTCTTCTTGCGTCACAGGTCAGTGCCCGAGAAGGGCCTGTGGAGGGCATCGAGGGGACGCGGGACTCTGGTGTGTGGCGTGGCTGTGGGCTGGCCGCCTTGGTGAGTCCTTCTCGGCTTGGGCTGTGTGTGTGTGTGTGTATGTGTGCTGAGGCCAGCTACTTGGCTTGGCCTGATTGTCAGGAGCGAGGAAGGGGAGAGAGCTGGTGTAAGGAGGCTCCCGGGTGCCTCCGTTTCCTTCTGAGGTGGACAAGGAACAAGGCTCAGCCTCCCGTCTCCGACTGTGAAATGCATCTGGGCTGAAAGCCACACGTCTGTTCGCTCTGTGGGTTGGTCACAAAGCATGTGTGGGAAGCAGGCTTCCAGAGGCATGATGGATGGATGGATGGATAGATGGATGGATGGATTGTGGATGGACTAAATGGGCTGACAGCTGGGGAGGAGGAGCCACTGGCTCCATGGGAAGGTGCTCTGTGATCAGCTGGCCATGTCTGCCTGTGGAGTGCGTTGGCAGCGCCCCCAGCCGGCCTCCGGCTATGGTGCTTGTGTGGAACTATGTAGAGACTGGAGAGACTTTGTGTGGAGCCCAGCGGGCTCTTGCTTGTCGGGGTTGCTCTTGCCTTATGGGAAGGAAGGCTCAGGCCTTCACCCGGTGGCAAGGATGGACTGGCTCCCTTTGCATGCATGACCCCTGCTCCTCCGGGCGTCCATCCCCCGGAGCCTGGCACCTCGCCCTCCAGGCCTCCATCTCTGCTGCGGCCTCTCTCCCGAGGTCCTGCTCTCTGTGTTCCCCTGGGCTCTGGTGGTGTGGGCAGCCTATCCAGCCCCGAAGCATGAAGCACCGAGAGGACAGAGGCCTGGGAGGTGTGCCACAGCCCAGGGCGATCTGCGTGGGGAGGCCCAGGTTCCAGCCCAGCGTCCCCCACCAGTCCCCCCAGGCAGCCTGCTCTCCCTCCCTCCGCGCCCAGGGTGCATCGTGCACGCGATGGGTTCATTAGTGAGACAGTCTGAGGATGTGCTGGTTTGTAAAGGGACAGACGCCGTGGCCGCCGTGGCCACCGTGTCCCGGGCCCTGCAGCCCTGGCCCTGTCTCCCTCGGGGGCTGGGCGGGGAAGCCTGGTTCTCCGATCACTCCGACCTTCATCTTGGGGAGGGGTGACCAGATCGGGGTGCTGCTGTGGGCGGTCCTGCAGGTGCTCTCCCCCCAGGGAGGGGCTTTTCTCACTGCCAGTGCAGGAGTGGGTCGTGAACCCCGCCTCACATCTCCACTTTCCAAGTCTAGCTTCCGGAAGCACCGTTTCTCCCATGCGGGCTGCGGCCCATGGAGATTCCGGCTCCGGCTTTGGCGTTTTTCCTTTCTGGCCAGAATACGTCTTTGGCCAAGCCAGCTCTGCCTTGGCCTGGCCGGGAAACCCCCAGCTTCCTGCCAGAACCCCACCCCCACCCCTGGTCTGCGGGCACCGCCCCTCCCCCAGGCCACCCTGCGCCCCACCCCCACCCGCTTCCATCACGGTCTCCTGGCTTTTTTAATTTCACTACATTTGCTTTGCCGGGTGAGGACCGAGCTCATTACGCCATAACTGCTTTCCGCTGGGTTCCCACACACTGGGGCGGGTGTGGAGGAGACGTGCGCTCCCCACCCCCCAGCCTGCTCCCCCGAGACCTGACCACCGGCACACTCGGGGTGCGATCCACCTGCACCAGGCTCCTCATCTTCCAGCTAGCAGAGCCTCAGTCTCCCCAAAGATCACCAAACCAGGGTTTTGATGGCCGGCCTGGGACCTCCTCATTTTCCTGTCCCCAGGTCCCAGGGAGCCATCCCTCCTCTCGGTCTCCATCATGCCCTTCAGCAACGCTCCCGCTCCTCTTCTGTGTTCGGGTGATAGGGAAGGAGCGTGCACAGGTGCGGGGCGCGCCACCCCTCCAGCCTGGCCAGGCAACGGGAGGTTAAGGAGCTTCCGGCCAAAGCAATTAGCGCAACGCACGTCCTGCTCGGGCCAGACGCTCAGCGGCGGCAGCCGGTGCCGCTCAGGGCAATTTGTTCTGGTGCTAATTACAACACCAGGATAATGACGGTGTGGTCAGGTTTAATTTCTCTGATCTTAAGCAGGAAAGAAGCTATGAGATGCTAGCCCAGATGGAAATTGGCGCAAGTTTGTCTCTGATATCAATCAATTACCAGGGAAAAAGGGCTGCTGAACACAAAGAGGCAGGACAGTCTCTCAGGGAGGACTGAAAAACAGACATCACGGTGGAGAGGGCCAGGTTGGGGCCTGGACCGACCATGCCCTACACAGCCCACCATCGCCCGGCAGCTGGGCGGGGACAAAGCTTTTTCTAGAAAGGAGAAGATTTGGGGAAAGGCAGCCCAAGCAGCCACCACAGAGCCACTCAGCACCAGCTCCTGCCCGCCAGCATGGAGTTCACTTCGGCCCCACGACCCGGGATTCCACCGGCAGCGGCCAGCCCAAGGTGACTTGGCAAGGCAGTGGCTCCTCCCCACAGGGGCCTGGGCTGTCCTCTCTGCCTCTGTTTACCCCGGCGTCCCGCACAGAGCCTCAGCGTGGCAGAACAGATGAACCTCTGAGAAGGTTGTGGCTCTGCTTCGGCAGAGTCCCCTGAGCAAGGGAGTGAGTGACAAGGCCATGTAGACTGCGGACAGGATGCTGGGACGCGGGAGGGTGTGGACAGAGCCATGGGACCCTTGGTATCCCAGCCAAGTGAGGTTTTTCCCAGGTGTGTGGGGGGGCGGGGGGGGGGGGAGGAGGATCCTGCCTCTCTGTCTGCCTCTGGGTCTGTCTGTCCCTCTGTGTGTGTCATTTTCTCCCCCTTCTCTCTTCAGTATTAATAAATACCCTGTAAGGATGTGAGCCAGCAGCCCCTAGAATGTAGGGTACTGAGGACTGCTTAGGCCGCTTGGGTCAGGGCTGAGACTGTGGGGACCAAACGTGCCAGAGACAGTTCAGAGGCAGCAGGAGCGGACCGCCCCTGCTCAGGACAGCACTTTAGGTCACAGGCCGCTTTGGGCTCGGAGGGCTGAGCCTGGATCACTTCTCCAGCTGCTCAGGCCCTGAGCCTGCAGTGGGCTCAGCAATGACAGCCCCTCGCCGGCTCCAGAGCCCTGAAAAAAGCCACCACTGCCGGTACCACCCGCCCCCCATTGTCTTGGTTCCGTCGTCAGCCTCACCGGAGGCTCTACCACACCAGCAGGGCCCCTAGACTCTGCCAGTCTTCTTAGAGATGGGTTGGTGTGGCCCAGAGAGCAGAGCCAGGCCTGGGGTCACGTGAGTGGCGGTGATGGGCAGGGCAGGGCAGCGTGTGGCCTCCACGCTCCTCAGGCCTCTCCTCCTCCACCTGACGGGGCCTCACTGCCGGGGCCTCTGCCTGAGCTCTGCCGGGCTCCGGTCGGGGGAGTGGGCATCAGGGCGCAGGCTCCCTGCCCTGCCTGTCCGCCCCCAGGGGAGCCTCCCGCACCCCCTGACGGCCTCTCATTTCAGGCCACCCTTCCCGCGTAGTCTGCAAGGCTTATTTGGAAACCATCTCTGCTTCTAATGAATGTTTTTTCCTCTCTGCCCTTGTCCTCTAAAATGCTTAATGAATGTTTTCTGCACGAGTGAGGCAGGGGGTGTTCCCATGTATTTGCTGTGGCTGCCGTCTGGGCTGCTTGGCTGCTGGTTCCAGCCTGCTGGTGCCGAGGCCAGAGGACTCCTGCCCAGCTCAGCCCAGCTCAGCAGCATGCACAGAGGCTTGTGGGAAAATTGCCAGGCCTGGGACTCAGTGGAGACCTCAGTGCAGGGTAAGGGAGACTCCAATTCACAGGAGCATGGCAGACATTTGAATTTCAAGATCTAAGACATTTGGCTAATGAGAGGAGCACTGGATTTGGAGTCTGAGGACTGGGTTTTAATCCTGCCCAGTGCACCTGAGCAGTAGCAGCTCTGGCCACAGCTGAGCACCACCTCCTGGCCGAGAAGTGAAGCACCAGGTTCTCCATGTCACCAGAGACAAGTTCCAGTCACCCGGCCAGTAGAGGATAGTAGGGGGTGGGGGAGAGACTCCGAGGTGACCCACAGCAGTGTTCTCTGTCTCTTTATGCGGTGCCGCCATCATTCCTCTATGTAGATGAGGCACTTGGGAGAGGGTGGAGGGGTGAACACTTGGTCCTGGGTCATAAAACCAGCCAGAAAGCTGGGGACAGCTGGGCCTTCACTTCCCACTTCCTGCTGTCGGTGAGCTCTGCTAGAAACGGCAGGTGCAGGGGTGCTGTGGTAGGCGGCCTCCTGTCCCTCACAGAGTACCGGAGACACTCGTCTCGTCAGGAGGAAAGACTGGTTTTAGCTCCGTGTCAGAGATGGCAGCTCCGTCACTTTGGGCCTGTGGCGGCTCAGCATATCATGGCGGGAGCACAGAGACAGGGCAAGCCTGCTCACCTCAGAGAGGCGGGGAAGCAGAGACTGAGGGGCGGGACTTCCCTTATCCACTCCAAGGGCGGGTCCCAGTGACCTCACTTCCTCCTATGGCCTCTACCCCCTATCAACAGCACCAGGAGTCAGGGACCCAGTCTTTAACCAAGGCCTTCAGGGGTCATTTCTGATCCAAACCAGGTCAGGTACCATTGCTTCCCACCACAGGCACCACAAGGCCAAAACCAGAGCACATTGTAAGGGCACAAGGCCCATGGGCCACACATAGGCCCCAACTGGCAGGCCTGCAGTCCCCCACAGAACCTCTGGTAGCTTCTGTGACCTCAGACGGGTTTGTGGGTTTTCTTTGAGCTCATTGGGCATCAGGACCACAGGGAAGCAGTAGCCCGGGCAGCACAGGGCTGCAGCGGCGGCGGTGGAGGTTCATGCACGCAGCATTGTAACGCAGCTCCTGGCACAAGGCGCGAGTTTACTCAGTAAATCCTAGCTGGGCACCATCGACACCCGGCCAGGCTAGGCTGACTGCCTGACATCCCAGAGAACATTCCTGACACCCAC